CTCTGCAATTATATCTTCGCACAATAATATTATTTACAAACTAATTCATTTTTTTATGGTAAGTTAAAAAATTATAGTATTGTGTACTGTTAAAGGTTCTTACAAAAATGTTCTCACTGCTTAGAAATGTAAATATAGCTGCACATTATGACTTTCTGTTTTCTGTTTAAAATGGTCACAAAAACATGGATTTTGATTGTGAAGTAATACGTTCAAAATAATAGCATGGCCAGTTACTTGTTAATCTGAGCTTTGTACCTACCAACTCCTTAATTCCCATTGAACCAATAGTTTCTATAATGCAGCGTTTTTCAGGAAAACAACGATCAAGTTATATGCCTGTAGTTCATACTTATAAATTAACACATTTCTTGTTTAACCATTATCAACTGTTCATAATAATGACGAATATACCATGCAATTGCAGGAGCCTGCACACTTAGTTTTTTTGGTAAATATATTCCTAAACTGCTATTGCCTTCAATAATGATTTTAGGCAGTATTATGTTAGTCAACCCAAATCTTAACATAACGAGTATAAAAAACTTAGACCTCTATCTATGCATGTTTTCAGAGTACACAAAGCATATTGACTGTAGACCTTGATTAAATTGCTTCTGGTGTCGATCTGATTGTTCATTCTTAACTGACCATGACACACTGACAAGAATTGGAGTTATGCTGTGGATGTCTTACTTGCCAGCCAAACATGAGCTCCGTTCAACCACTGTGGCGAGTCGAGCTGGGTTGACATGGCATTTGAAACTTAGGGACCAAAGAACAGGCATGTGCGTGTCCAGTCTCTATGAGAGTAATTGGACAAAATCCCACAAAACAGCATCTGTATCCTGGTCCCGGATTTACAGCTTGCGCTGCTATCAAAGGTGGCCACATACTACGAGCCTGTTGATCATCACTGATTTAAAGCATTTTGAAAAGCCACCTTTTAATAAATAAAGTTTATCATGATTCTTGATTACAAACGATAAACATCACTAAACCTACCACAATAAAAATGTCATTAACCTGATAAAGTCATTAAAAAAGTGATGTGTGTTTTGATGCCAAGTCTGCTAAGGACATGCCTAAGTGAACTATCCCCCTGCAGCTGCAGAGTACAGTAAACAATCAGAAAACCATTTCTAAGGGACATACTGCTAAACAAAGTTTGGACATCCAAATATTCAGGACAGCAGGGCGTGCAGGTCTCAAAACAAAACAAAAGACTTAAAACTATATCTCAATGACAGGTGTAGTAATCCATTTAGTAAGAACTGAACTACCGTAGTTCATGCACTGCTTCCAGAGTGTGATTTTTATTGAAATAATAGCAAAAAGCTCTGCTGCAGTTTCTGGTCCGATTTCCCTTACATTACCTTTCAAGCTGAAGCCACAGGCGAGCAACTTGAATCCCATATCTTCTACAACCTTGAAATCCATCTTAAGATAGACCTCTTTAATCGTATTCTTTCATGACGACTAAATACGCTGTCATTGGTTTCTGGTTCATCTCACTGGATGCTGCTCTATGCAACTGGGATTAATGCCTGAATTTTCCTAGTCATTGCACATGATCTGCTTCATCGCACTCTTTGCCTCCCCCTTCACTCAGTGGGTTCTGTTCGTTTGGAGGGCTTCACTCTGTAAATGTCACCAAACAATCTTTCTCTTGCTGCATCACTCTGTGCTGCTTCTCAACACTCACTTTCAGATATTTTGTAAATGCCTATTTAGTCTTTTTACCTCTTCTTGCTTCATTGGAGGATATAGATACCATTAAATTTAACTGCCCATTTCTTACAGGAGTCACAACAAATAAACAGTTTAATACCAGGGCTAGCAGTTGTTCCTGCCAGCATATTCTAATGCCTGTACAGTGATCTAAAAATGTTTTTTTTACCAATACTACCATGTTTTTCTGTATTAGCAACATATTTTGTATCTTTATTAAACCTGTCATAAGGTATGCCAAACATGTTGCATTTCAAGTGTCCTTATACTAATATTTTGGACTTTCTGACAATCCCGGTATTTTCATTCATTGATCTTTCTCTAATATTAAGACCAGTTCAGAAGAATGTCTTGAGTGTTTTGCAAAACTACTGTAACACAAACAGGATTGTTTTTTATAGCATATGTCAAGGTGTTATTAGTAAAAGCTTAAGAAATGTATAAAATATATTAAGAAATGAGAGGCTTGCCTAAGATTAATGGTATTTTTTAATTATATAAATGTCCAAACATTGTTCCATTTGTTTCCTTAAGAAAAATATGAATATCACATACACAAAATTATTTCCCAAATAATTCATTTTTCATTGCTGATTCACAGAGGCCCACACATCCTTAAACTACTATAATTCTTTCTCCTCTCTGCCGCGAAAATGAGATTCTTATTCTGAGGGTTATCTTCCTCATCCAGTATCAGGGAGAAAAAGGAATAATTGATTCTTAATCTGATGGCATTTAGGAGAAAATGTTAGAAAAATTAAATGTCTCTTTAAAAACAAAATAAGATAGTACAGCCTTTGGTTTCAAATCAAGCTATAGTACTAGCTGGAATCCTTTAAATAAGAGAAAGAAAACCTTCTGAGATTCCTTTCATTGAAGTCTCCTGTCTATTTGGGTAGTTCTGGAGGTTTGGCCTCAATGCACAGATTGGTATTGGTATTAATAAGTATTAAATCAGTGAGGAAATAATATTTTTACTTTAACACATAGGGCATATAAGTCCTTTCAGACTTAATATTGTTGCTGTAAAGCAATGCACAATCTAAGAATGGCATTCATTTTTTACACCACTATAAGCAAAGTGATGCACCTATACATGAGGAAGTCGCCCTACCACTAATAACCGCTAAGAGAACATTAATAACTATGGTACCAATTAAAAGTCATTAGGCACCAATGATGCTGCACAATGCAGTCCGTACATTAATTTCAGATGACAACCTTTTAACATTAGGTGTTTTTAGATTAATTGCAGATCTTTTATTCGCAGATCTTTAAACGTCTTTTATTCATTTGGTGACAGTGGAGTACAAGCCTATATGCAAAACCACTAAAGGTTCACTAATGTCTCTGTTTTGGCCTCATCTGGGGTGATAGTAGTATCATGGTATCATGAAGCCATTAATTTTAAATTCTGAAGGCAGTTTGTTGTTACTGGCAATTCAACTGCAGACTAATTTTACAGCAACACTATTGTCACTGCATCTTCTATATCTTTGAGCACACTAACGCTTGTGGCCCACACCTGCAAAGGTCCCCAATATACAGTTTTAATCTGCTACTAAAGTCATGCAATCGCCCACTGTATTACTGGACCTCAACCAAAATGAGCTCCTTCTGGGGCAACCTGGCTAGACAAGCACATTAGTGTCAACATTCAAGAAATACTGATGATCTTGCAGCAGCCTTGCATATTAAATGGAGGGACATCGGGCACTGATCAGTTACCCACGGAAGGGTGTCTTGAATATAACACTTGACCTACTTCATCCATGACTTCTGAACTTGGTTATCAGAATCCAACTTAGAAATAAAAAGTCTGTCAAAGTTTCCTAGGTGAAAAACCTTATTCTTACTGAAACACTTATCCTGAAAAACACTAACATTTCTTAAATGTTTCAATGCACGTTCTCTCTTCCCTTGACAATGAAAGGCAATCAGTCCAGACAGTTAAGCATTGACCAGTTTTAACAGTTTTGGTGTATAGGATTCTTTAACGTTATACCATGGCATATTTTTATGTCTCTACAAATGACAAATTACAACAACCTAGGCTCAACCATGAGCAAGACTCTAAGCTTGCCCGTGTTGTGCTGAGAGATACTCCACGATACACTGGATAAGCACTGAGATATAACCACTGACCTTAGATGGACCCAGGATTACAAAGAGAATAACTTCCATAATATCAAAGGAAACATTAATCTGATTTGACTTATATCTACCTATTTAATACAATTTGCCCCGGATTTTGATCTTCTTTCTGGTTTAATTTAGGATAAGTTCTGTCAATATTGACATTGACCTACAGTAATGGAATATTCATTGCTGTCCATAATAAGTCTATTTACATTGACAGAAGCTTTGCAAAAAGCAACTATGATTTATGGCTCGGGGTTTCACATCTGAAGAACTACATTGGGTTGACATATGCTTTCAACTTTAGAGATCACATCAAAGTAGCAAAATCCCTGTATATGAATCAGGGCACTACCACCATTTTGTACAGGGTTTAAGTGTCTACCTTTTCTCTCAGAAGCTGTTAGAAATACAATGATAGAGGTAATACAGTGTGTATCAGAATTAAACAATTAGACCCAAACTTTAAGCCATATTAAACCTAAACCCGGATACAACAGTTTTAGGTTTAATGTTTTTTTTTTAATGTTTCTTTATTAGCCCTATACAATTTCTTGCATTAGGAATTCATCTTTTCGCATACCCCAGCTTTTTCTCCATGGAGACACAGACACACAGACAGGGAGAGAAGCTTGGGGTCAGAGCGCAGGGTCTGCCATTGTACGGCACCACTGGAGCAGTTGGGGTTAAGGGCCTTGCTCAGGGGCCCAATGGAGTAGGATTCCTCTGCCGGCCGCGGGATTTGAACCGGCAACCTTCCGGTTACAGATCCTTAGCCACGGAGCCACCGCTCCGCCCGTTTAATGTGAAACAGGACCATGGTGTGGGGATTACGAATTCTAACCTCTATTGAGCTGACTCTCACTAATTTCCTTGACAAAAAGGAAAAACTGTGGGGATCAGATTCAGACAGTGTAGGTCAGCTCAGTTCATAAAATACATTAATGTCAGTTACACAGTGTTCATCATAATGCCTGCAAAATAATTTCCAACTCAGCAACCTAACTCCTGAAGGCCCCCGAGCCAAGCAAGTCCTATGCCTAACGAGTGGTAAACACCAGTGACATTTAAACACAGTAAGGTCAATTTTCTGGCCTCTCTCTCAGCAAGAGGATGTCAGCAGTACTTACATGTCCTCCGGTGTCCAGTGTAGAAGAACCTTAACCTTCCCAGAGTCTTCCTTCCGCCTTGCTATTACCTAGAAAGAAACCAAAGTTTCAACATTTTGATCATGCTAATAACACAAGGATACAATGCACTGTAACATTCATTGAAATGTTAAACAATAAGAGAAGCAGTCCCAAGGGTATCATAACTTAGTTGTGCACCTCTGTCATCTGAAAATGATGTTACAGTATATAAGCATGCCATGGAAAATCCTGTCACAACTACAAAATAACAGGTTGGTAATCACTCCAAAACAAAAGCTATCTTGTTTTCCTGCAACATAAACCAGGACTTTATAGATCAGGCATTTGATCATTCTGAGGTAAAGGTGAATAAGTATGCAAAATAATAAAATACGCTGATTATGTCTGTAGAATCAGACCTGGAAGAACACTAATGTGGTATCTGTCTTATTAAATAAATCTGCAATTTCTACCCAGTGTGTGGCAACTCATCGTTCACATTAATTGAAATAAATCAATACTCAGGTGTTCATTCTAGTTCATTCTAGGAAGGCAGCTTTCTGTTGAACATCTTTTTGTCTTTTGAGGCAAAGTTTGATACAAAGAGTGGTTCAGAACAGCTGAGGCAGAAGCTCTCGTGTTCTTATCTCCATCTAGATACTCCAGCTGAAGAAAAAGAAGAAAAACATATGGGAAAAGACCTACAAGAAAGAGACAGGCCACTGTTCACTAAAAACAACAAGATTAACAAAAAAAAACAGTGTACGTCCCGAGTGCTCCCACATAGGGTTCTGAACAGTTAAGGAGAAAAAGAAACTAACAGAAATCAAATCTCAGAAAACACAATACAGCTTGATAAATACCCAAAAATAACTAAAAGCACAGTGCAGTGCAGAATTTTGTAGTGTATTTTTTCTTTGCAAATGCCAAGCAAAAAATACAAGGCAGACACTAGCAAATTAACATCCTCCACAAGGAACCCACCAACCACAATACACAGTGTAAAAGTCCTCTAGTCCTCAATCCTAAATGTACATCTCCTCAATTTCTATACACTCAATTTCCTACTGACAGAGAAGATGCAGCCCCCTCTCTCTGTCACAGTACAAGTTAAAACCATTGCCAAATACAGCAACATTAATTTAATCAGTTTCACAAGTGTATGAAGTTTAATTAAATTAAGTTAAATATTACACAATCATAATTTTCAAATTTAATGAGCAAAAAAATCGCACCTTTTGTTGCATCTTCATGATTTCAACAAGGCTTTTGATGAAGATTTCTTGCTTTCTGGTTATCAAACATATGACATGATGAACATACACAGTGTCTAAGTGCAGGAGACTTAGACCAATCAATTCTGAGTGATGATTAAAAAAAGTTCAATAAAAACAGAAGTCACAATAATGTTTTTTGATCTAAAAAATGCATGTACATACAAATGTGTATGTACAAAAACATTGCACATGATGCACAGCCTACATTGTAATTTACTGAGTCTTCAATTTAAACCTTACAACACATTTATTTTCTAAAAAAATTACAATGTGCCCTTTATGCTATTGCCAACTTGCCTGTACCACAGAATGACGTAAAACCAATTTTATTAAAAATCTTTTATCACGGTTTTAGGTTTAATGTGATGATTTTGGAAACCCGCCAAGCAGCAGGATCTGCAAGAGTTTTACTAACTGATTCTGTGAGCCGTGCCATCAATTTTTCAACCTATTTCCATCCAAAACTTGTCCTGGATTTAAAAATGCCCAACAGTAACCAAGGAAAGACACGCAATAAGAAGGGCTCTGTCCTTGAAGCACCTTTTTAATATTTCTATGTACACATTCACATTTTACTATAATTTGTAGTATACATAACCTCTGATGCACTCCCAGCTCACATGCATAAGACTCATGAGCAATGATGAGAAAGCTACTTGGTATTCCTTAATGGCACAAGAATAGCATTTGTTCACAGCGCATCACACAGAGCACTCAATCTACAAAGTCATGGTTGGTGGAGCCAAATATTTCACATAATGCACATTACACATTAACCAAGACCATGTTTTTACCTCTTAAACAAATTTTAGCACCCAGTGCTCAGCTTGCTATGGCCATTAACAGCAGAATCCTCAATACCTGACAGTAAATAACAAACAGAAGATGCTGAGGAGTACCAAAAAGGCATCTTAAAAATCTTTGTTTTCTTTTCTACATAGCTTGAACGAAAGCTTGTAACACATTTCTACAAAAACAGTGGTAGAACTACAGAAAAACTTCAAAATGGGATGATCTGAGTTGAGGTTAAGTCAATCCAGATTGCGAAAAGCCAATCAAACTCCATTCTCCAAAACTGTAAGCAAGCGCATCACCACCGCCAGTAACAACCACTCCAAAATGTTATATTTGCTAACAGGTACAGATTTATGTTCTTCTCCTAATGTTTCTCATTTACTTCCTTGCTACCCCACAGTAAGGTCACCCTAACCTCAATGCAGCTTTGCTTTAGATATTACTCCAACCCCACAAAACCTTTCAAAATAAGAACTAATTTCCAATGAAAGGTTGAAATATTAACTGCCCTGATTTTCACCAACTGTACCAAGTCTTAAATCTGTATTCATGCACTGTAAACATTTAACACGTAACATTTCCAACTGAGCTGCTAACATTTTTGCATCAAAATATTGCTTTGTTCCGATTATAAGTCTTAAGACAGATTTGCTTAATGTGTTTTCAAACAACTTAAGATGTGATTATACCTGAATCTCCAAAAAAAAAACATTGAGGTGAACACAAATTCCGATAGTGAACTTATAAAGCAGAAGCAATCAGTTTCAACATTCAAGAAAGTTAAAAAAAAAAACAGAGGCCTTTTAAAGGATATCTATTTATAAGGATCGCAATGAGCCAACAGTTGTTAAGCACATTTATTACGCACATGGATTATAAAAATAATACTTTTGACTCTGGAGAATTGAGTATGCATTCATGAAAATTGGTTGAAGGGCAATAAAAGTCATCTCTTCTGAGACGAAAACTCTTCCAGTAAGTTGGAACTGTGGTTTCCTTCAATTCAACCGTAAACCAAGAGCTATGCAAGATTGGCAGAGGGATGTTTTTCTTCAGTAGCTACTTAAATGGCAAGCCTTTTTGTTTTCAGCTAATACATATATAAATAAATCCTTCTTTTTCGCCAGCCTACGTCCTGTCAAGGTAGTCCACTGCTGGACACTTTATCACAATACTGTCAAATGCCAGTGTCATGTACCAATCAGCAAGAATTATTCTTCAACAAAACAAGAACACAAATGTTGTTGTGCCTGAGTGAAACAGAGTGGTAGTTTATTTCAAATCGGCTTTAATATATTAAATACTTCCTGAAAATTATTATTTGATACAATGTCTACTTTTAATACTTCCTGTCTAATGTCTCTAATTTAAAAAATCTAGATCCTGGTCTTGCTGTGTAAGAGCTGGATTTGAAAAATTACTGACACCAGCTCAGCATGCTCATATATATTTTAAGAGCAAGACATGCAAAGCCCATTGCTGTAAAAACATCTTTAAAATAAAAGAAATATAACTGGATGGATTTTATGTGTCTAGGTATCTCCACATTTCACAAATTGAGACTGCATAGATGAAAGCAAAGTAAAGACATAAAAGGCACAGTTTATGAAATCAACCACCTTTTTGTCCTTTTCTTTAATTAGGGCAAATCATCCCTACCACACACCACCTCTATGTTAGGGTGTTTCTGTATTTTGTGATCTTATTATTTGTCTTCCAGCTTCTTTAAATACACTGCTGGCTGAAAAACTCCAATTATGAGCAGAAGGGAGGAAAGGAGACCTATTTAACAGTGTTCCAAAGACAACAGCTTTCACTGTGCTGCATCCCTCCATGTACGTCAGAGGAGCGCATCTGAGCCCTTGCAAGCTGGCAGCTGTTTAATTGGTCTTTTAATTAAAGAAGCATGGGAGTTAATTTTGCTCTTAGCTGCTTTTGAAAACAGCGTTATAAATGCAATTCGAAGGGCCGGTTTTGAAAGAATATGTATGCGTTCAGAAAGAACGCCACTTAAAATAGCTGTGTAAGATCTCAGCAGAACTTAGTATGATTTAGTGCCCATACAAAGAGTGTTAGGATAAGGAAATCTAGGTTTTATTTTAAAAAGAAAGAACAAAACCATCTATCTGAAGTGTACACTGCATTGCAGTGAAGAAAAACTGTATGGATTACAGAACATTCAGAAGGAAAAACATTAAAAAGCAAAAAATTTGGGGCAAACATCTCCAGCAGAAACAGATGTACACGGTAGCAGCACTACTTCGCTGCACATAAGCAATTACAATTGCTAAGAAATCTTACCAATGACGCAGTCTGGTGGAAAACAAAAACATTTCACCAAAACTAAATTTAGCACAAAGAAGCTGTCACCGTGCTTTCTCAACCTTCATACTTGAAAAAAAACATCTGACACCAGATTTCAAGATAAGCACTCCTTTACTTTTATTAAACTTCTTTTTTGGAAAATCCAATTCTCCCACCCTCTTTTTAATTGTCAGTAAGCACACTTGTGGAACAATCAAACTACATTCAAGATCCCTGATGGAACATTAAGATAATAACAATATTAGATTAGTAACACTGAAAGATGAATGCACACTTTGCTATGCATAATGCGCCTCTTGTTTAAGTACAGCAGAACATATTCCCTTTCAAACGTCCTGATTTACTCACTTTTTCGTCTACTCCCTGTCCAGCTTTTTTGGCAATGCTAAAATATTTACTCTCCTACTTTGCATGACCCTAGCTTTATCAGATTTATGTTAACTTTTTTCTGAACTACTGGACAGAATGCTGCTGGCTGGCAATTTATCAGATCACAGATCAACCAGAAAGAGAAATAAAGTGATAAGCTTGCAAATAAAGCAAAGGCTCTCCAGTAAACGTATGTTCAGCCATTCAATCCTGCATAAAATTGTCAACGTTTGTTAACTGTCTCAAGCTATACACTGACTTCGTGTGATAAAGCATTGCAATAAACATAATAGACTACTTCA